CATCCTTCTAGCCCTTGCACATGTTTTGACAAAGCTACTCTCAAGCGTGCTAGACGTACCGGGACAAAGGCACCGAGGTCGGGATACCGTACGTACCGCGATGCCGGTGGAAGCCTTCGGACTATGCATGTTGGTGACGGCCGTGGCTGTGGATGATGCCGAAGGGTATAGGGTATACATGTTACTAGCTTGTCCACAGGAATTCTGATAAGTCAGACTGAGACAGTACTTGTGGGTGGCATGGGTACGCTTTCAGCAATGGCGGGATAAGGGACACAGTTGTTTTATTGGCGGAGTATGCCGATACGCGGCTTACAAGTCTCCTGAACCCTTCACCAGCACTCTTTACTGTGGCGTAGCTGTTGATCTAGACGGCCAACCTTCCGCTTGTAATGGAGGTATCTATGACTCCGATAGGCCAGAAACAGAGAGAATGGCTTTTACTTTTCTGTTCTCTTTTGCTATATCGAATACCATCCAGTGAGCATATCAGATCCGGAAGATGCCGCCTGCGTCATCAGAATTTGTCAAAACTCTGGAGTTTACTTACTCTAAACGATATGTAGCTCCTGTAGAAGATTATGAGTGTCACGGAGGCACTCCAAGACCCTTCATTGATCCAGTCTCGTAGGGGCGAATGCATTCGACGAGTTCTCCTAAGGGAGCAAACGCATGTATTTGGAGGTATATCCTCGGGAGAAGAAGGCATGACGTGAAGTTTGAAGTCAGTAGAAGCTAGCCTTGACCGTCATCAATGTGACAGCTACAGAGAGCCGTGCGATGTGTTGAGCTGAGTTGACTCGAGCCCTCCAATTACACAAGACGTCGCATTAACATGACATGGACTCTGCATTGCATGACGGAAGCGCACGTCACCGGTCAGCTCATAAGGATCTTACCTCAAGGAAATAGAGAAACTGATAGAGTGGCATACTACCCTACTCCCCCTATCCGCCATATCTACCCAACGTATCACATTCGAGCTTGTATGGAACAGTTCGCATCTTGCAACTTGACCCTTCTCTGGTTCCTGGATGAATGGAAGGGTCATGCAAAGAATCACATGTATAAGCATGGTTTTCCTCCAGCATGCAGGCACTGCGCTTCACTTGTCTGGAAACCGCACCAAGAGGTCGGGGAATATATTGCGGATCAAGATAGCCAGTGGCCTAAATAATGGCCGTTTGTTATGCGAGTCTGGGCTACCCATACTAATCCCCTTACTATCCATATATTTTTGGAAATCAAGCGTTGCTCCTAGGAGTTCAAGCCTCGTGAAGGCGGGAATTTCGTGATGTTTACCAAGACGTGCGCATAGGAAAGATTGTCTGCAACTCCGAAACTCGGGAGGAATATTCAGTAGCAACATCATATCTTGAGGTTCTTCCATGGTATGACATTCAGGTCCATGGATACCCCTCGGACTTCAAAAGAATGCTCGTGATCAATTCTAAGTAGCGTTCGGTAGTTCTTGGGGTAGTTGGTGCAAACCAAGTCAATACTCTACTGAAGACAAGGCGTAACTCAAAAGTGCCCTTGAGCCGTGCATACAACGCGCTCGAAACACGGCGTTCTGGGAATGTACTATCTCTCGGGAAAGTCCCTGTGTAAATAAGCCCTTCATCATGCACTCGTAGAGTCCTTTTCTAATCAATATAGCTGGATGCATTACAACTCGTTTTATCCAGATTCCGGCGCTTGCGTCAGAGACTTCCAGATGCAGCGAGAAGACCCAAAACGCCAGTCCCTGCTATTCGTGCGTGTTCATTCACCTGTAGACAACCCGGCTGACGCCTGTGAATATAGGAAAATCCATGGGCTATCCCGTGGTGCGAAGCTGGGAACATTCGCCGCCACAACTGCCAAGTTTCCTCTGTGTAACACTAGCACATTATTGGCCGATAATGACCTTCATCTGTTTATTAATCTAAATATCGTCAAATTGTGGAAACCACTGCACAGAACGCAAAGCAATGTCAGACTCCATGATTCTAAGTTTAGGCAACGACACTTCTAATGCATTGTTTTGGTATCGCACATGAAAACTTTAGCCGATCTCAGCACATTCAAGAGCTCAATAGTCCCTCAAGCGCTTATTGTAGACGTCGAAACCGCTGGCATATCCGGGATGAAGCAATGCTGGCTATTTAATGACTATGCGACGGCGACCGGGGTTAACAAGCGAAAACTGGCCGAGTGCTTTGCGGATTGCATATCTGGAAGAGGCTGACGTATACGTTTCTGTTCAACTATAAGAACATCAGGGGCTTCGGCGCGTTGCATGGCATTCACCTGTATAAAGCCTTGTTTTGAGAATACAGGAAGCAACTATGATGCGATGTACGAGCAGTATATTGACAACAATGTACTGCTATATCATTCTGAAAGAGCTTCCATTCATGACGTCTTTGACGCATAGCAGAATCTGGAATGAAGAGACGGCGTTGGGAGCATGCCAACACTCGGTTCAATCTGCTTGTATGTCTATGACTAGCTTGGCTATGAAGCTTATCCCTTTGAGTGTGATAAGGTGCTCTCAATGTATTCAACCTATATACCCCTTAATTTAGATTAGTACATAAAGTAACTTCAATCCCTTCCCTACCTAAAGCCATACTAAATAGATATTAAAGATATAGTAATTAAAGATTTAATTATAGTTAGAAGTATTAGTAAAGTTAATAATAAACTTTTTATATAGCTAGATTACTATAAATAGAAGTAGAAAAATAATATTATAGAGAGACTAAATTTTAAGTCTATTAATAACTATAGTAGCGATTTTATACTAATAGAAGTGGAATAATATTATTTACTTCTATTACCACTACTAGCAAGCCTAGTTAACTTTTTCTAGCTCTTTATATCTATTTTCCTTATAGAAGCCTGGGTTTACTATATAAATAAGGCTTTTAAGCCTGCTTAAGGTCCTGAACCTAGGTCTTGTAACAATAGTAGCTATATAAAGTAGCTCTTATAGTAAGAGAAGGCTTAAAGCCTAACCTTAGTGCTAGAGATCTATCTATAGCTTGTTATATAGATTTATATAGGTTTATATAGAGAAACCTATCTAGAAGACTATTAAAAGGTCTTTAATACTAAGAGATACCTTTTAAGTTACTCTATTATTAAATATATAACTTTTAACTAATTCTAGCTACTATCTTACTATATATAAATTTCCTCCTTTTTATTACAGCTATAAAGGCTCTTTAAGTTCTATAATAAGTAGTCTAACTACCTATAGACTGTTTCTTTATAGCTCTAAAGCCTAAATATAAATCTTACTATAGATAAGTATATAATTAGCTTTAAAGGCTAAGTCTATAAAAAAACAACTATTCCTAGTAAACCAATGCCTATTAGATTTAAAGTCTAGGTTATAGCTTAATTAGGCTATTTTTTATAGTGGATTTAGCATACACTGCAGTCTATGCCTTCTATTATTAAAAAAACAAGGCAGGGCTTATAGTAGCAGCAGGGCTTATAGTAGTAGGGCTTGCAGTAGTAGGGCTTATAATAGCAGGGCTTGTAACAGTAGGGCTTATAATAGCAGGGCTTATAGCAAAGGAAAAAGCATAAAGCTACCCCTAATATAATAAAGGCTCTAAACCTTATACAAGCTATAGTGGTTTCTTTACTATCTAGACTACTAATAGCTATCTATTATATCTTTCTTAATAATCTTTTCTTATTACTATACCTTTTCTAGGCTCTTAGGGATTAAGGGATAGCTACTATAGGTACTACCTAGATTAACTATAGTATCTATAAGCCCTTTATTATAGTTAAGTAGTAAGACTATACTAGGAAGTGCTAGGCTTTTAACTATATTAAGGCTATAGCTATACTAGATAATAAGGTATATTAGGGAAAAGGATCTAAACTATATAACTAATAGAAAAACATATACTAATCCCTTGTCTAGTCTTTTAAAGTTAATTAAATTATATAGAAAGATAATGTACTTGTGCTGCTATTATTAATAGCATTTATAGTAAATTAATTTATCTACTAGGTCTACTAGTAGCCTACTACAATAGTATAATTATGCCCTATCTACTATAAATTTAGGCTTAACTTAGTAAAGGAACTCTTTAGGCTAGAGGTAGTAAACACTTATAATAAGTAGATAGATACTATAGATAGAGAGAACCAACTATAGGCTATAGAAGGTCTTAACTACTATAACTATAGGGGAGGGTAGTAGGCAATAGCTTAGACCTTTCTGCTTAAAGTAGCCCTTATTAATAGCTATCTATTGTAGTAGTGGGCTTTAGGGCCCTTATTATAGCCTCTCTATAAAGACCAAAGGGGGTAGTAGTAGTGCTTTATTAATAACCTTATTATTCTATATAGAAAGACTAGGGGTATAAAGTAGTATTTCTATGCTAGTAATATAATAACCTCTCTATTATAGTATAATTATATTAATAGAGGTAAAAAGGCCTATTGCCTAGGCTATTAGGGACTTTAGGTAGGTAAGGTATAGTTATAAAGCTAGTAGTCCCTTAGTTGGGTTAGTGGGAATAGAGATAAGGCTATATATACTAAAAAAGACTATAATGTGTATAATATAGCTATATATATCTAGCAGGAATGCTAGGACTTCTATTATAGCCTAATTTCTTAGGAAATTGAAGTTATGATTTTTTAGTGTATTTTTATTAGTTAAAAACCCTGTCTGTGACATTGAGGGCACCTTACCACACTCAAAGGGATAGCTCGACCGCCGATCCCAAGGCAGAACAACGTGGCAATGAATCGGGCGTTTACTTTTTCTTCTAGTCTCACAGCAAGAGTAGTGTCCTCCACTCTCTGGGTAGGGCTCTTCTGGCGTTGGGAACATGGGACAAGGCCGGCGCCACTGAGACACGGGCCGGTGTCATAGGGTTGTATTAGCGCGCAGCCCTGTGGCTAAGGGTCTAGGCTTCCCACCAGCGCCACGACTACAGGCGCTTCCTTTATAGTTTCTTGTAAAAGGCAAGCCTATCAGTCACGGGGATATGGCGCAGTGGTAGCGCGCTTGCTTTGCATGCAATAGGTCGGGGGTTCAAGTCCCTCTATCTCCATCTGACGAATTTTCTTTTTTGATGATTTGGTGCGAAATGTTTCTCGGTTCCCGCCTTCCTCCTCTTTTTTGCTGGCCTGGCTGCTTTTTGCCCGGGTTGATTCTTTTAACCATGCTCACTGGGTACGTACGGAGCACCAATAAAGAGATGCAGGATGCTTGATTGTTGTGCCTACGTTGGTAAAACCACCTTCCCAGGCTGGTTAGGCCGTTGCTTATTATGGTACCTGGATTAGAGCTAGCCCGTGTCTAAGGCTGGCCTGGCTGGGAAAAAATGGTTTCACCGCTGACAAGGACAGTGGCATCCTCCACTTCTCACCTTCGTTCAACTCCATCTCTACTACTCACCTTGCGCCCCTTTCTGTCCTCCTGTCTCACTCGTTTAGCCATGGGCCATCGACTGCATTGAGGCCAAACTTGCTCCGTCCGTAAGCTTCTTTTGTGTGGTCCTTCTCCTTGGGAAGATGGGTTCTGGTTCGATTGGCCACATTCAGCCGCAGACTAATGCAATCCTTCCAGGGTGATTCCTAGCTTGGGCCCTCTCTGGGAACGACCCTGTAATTCCCTTGACGGACTAGCAGAGGGAAGGGCATAGGATCGCAAATGACCCATCCCTTTTGCCACAGAACTGGATTAACGAGGCTTACACATATAGCATGGAGCCGACCCATGAGATGGGGCGGGCATGGGTGATGATGGGATGGGCTGACGGGCTAATGCCCTCGCCGATTTGAATCCTCTGTTCCCCTCCGGCTTGCCTTAATCTAGACTTGCATTGTTTGTCAGCCTCTCGATCCTGCTACATCGCGTTGCATCGCGTTGCATTGCAGCTCCTCCTTGGATCGCCCTCCTGACGATTCAACTAGGCCTTTCAGGATCCGAGGCGACGACATTTCCGGGGGTTTGCCTTCTTCTTTCCCTTCCCTCCACAGAGAGCCTCATTCGTCCTCCCGCTGGTGGCCATGGCTCGCCAAACGGCAGTGTCAACGATGGCGATGGCGACGGCGACGGTTCTCCTGCTCGCGCAGCCGGTGCTAGGCAGCATGGCGGGCTGGTATACCTGGACGACCTATGAGCTCACGCCTCATTTTGCCTTGCAAGACTCGAGCTCTGGCGATATTCTACACAGCGCATGCAACAGCAACGGCTCGGCAGTCTTTCCGACAGACGAACCTCACCGATTCCACCTCGATGTTCCTGCGCGATCGGCGACGCCTCTCCAGGTCCGCGGCTGGTGGGATGAGGATTTGAATACTCCAGTAGTAAGCGTCTCCCTGCCACCATCCACCTGTAACGCCTGGAGCAATTACTGACTGGTGCGACTCCTCAGGCATATTTGTTCTACCAAGCCGATGATACCAAAATCATGAACGCTTTATTTATATGCAATTTGACGACCGGCAATTACTTTGCCGATCCTAACGAGGTTTACAGTGTGTCCGATGACGCCGGCGCACCCTCTGTTCACGAGACGTCAGGGCTCGCTGTTGAGGACCTTGGCGATGCAGGCGGCTTCCGCGTCTTCTACCACGATGAGGACGAGAGAGTAAACATGGTCGCCTGGGACGAGGATACCGACTGGATCTACCTCGGCCCTGTGTCGAGGAAGTCCGTAACTGGCAGGTCGATAGGATCAGCACTCGCTGACGATAGGGCTGTGTCCGTGGCATTCCCCCACGATAACGGCAACATTGCAGTCGCGCAATTTAACGAGACTGCGGAAGACCAGTGGTCATTGGGTAGGACAATCCCTGGGGCTATCCCACCTAGAGAATGGACGCAACATGGTCAGCTAACACGAATAACAGTCTCTGTACCCAGGCCTTTTGCCAGGCCAGTTCCCACCAACGAGACGAACGCATCCAACATGACACTTGTCCGGGCAGACGATGCTCCCTTCTCGCTCATTGGTTTCAGTGCATCCAACACCGAAGTCCACCTCGCCGCCAATATCCACAACTACCGAAGAATATTCTACCTCGGTACCGACAGGAGGATGCATCAACTGTACGAGGTTGACGGAGGAAGGGGCGGTTGGGATATTGCAGGCGACCCTGAAGACGGAGAGTGGCCTGTGGCCGACAATGTCTCTGCGTCCATGGCTCTGATCTCGGAACCGGAAACCGGCGTTATCTGGGTCTACTACCACAGCGGCGGCGAGATAATGGAAATGTATCAAAACGGGTTTAACATCTGGAGGGAGCCCAGGATCGCCTTGAAGAGCAACGGCACGGCCAACGAAGACGATAGCAATGTAGACGAAGGAAACGGCGATTCCGGCAACAGCAACGACAACACCAGCGACGGAGGACTTTCAACAGGTGCTCAGGCAGGCATTGGTGTCGGTGTTGGCCTTGCAGTACTAGGTGTGGCAGCGGCTGTCTTCTTCTTCATCCGCCGGAGGAAGCTAGCAGCCAGCGCCGAGGAGGAGGCGGCGGCGGCAGCAGGAGGAAGCCCTGACGGCGAGAACAAGCCGCCGGTGTACAGCGGCGTGCCGACGACGCATTCGCAGAGCTGGCACCAGCCCGGGTACGGCGACGACGCGCACAAGTCGCCCGCCACGGCAGAGCCGGCGGAGCTGACGTCGACAACGGCGCCCCAGGAGCTTCCCACCTCGGTGCGCTATGAGCTGCCAGGCGACTACCATCACCAGGAGCTCGGGACAGATGGGGAGATTGGCGCAGCTGCGGTCCGGGAGAGCAGGTGAGCCTCCCCGGCAGGGCGTGTGATGCGTGATGCGTCTTGACGCAGACGTCCCGTTGCCATGTAGACCGTGGCCTTTTAAGTGTATACGACATCAGATAGTGTAAAGCGACTTGGATACTACTGGGTTTTTTTTTCTTTTTTCACCTTCTTTCTTTCTTTTCTTATCCTCGTGTAATTGGATAATGTGAGAGACTCGTCTGCGAAAAGAGGCCGATACTTGGCGAAGACGATGCATTCCGTAAGGCGCAGCGTCGTGTGTCCATCAATCAGTGTGATTTTATAACATTTTCGCTCGTGAAATTAACATCATTCTCTGTCCATGCAGTCCGATCATCGCGGCAGTCTACAGTCAATTGCTCATGGCAAACATCCAAACAGTGCAAAAGACAACGAGATGTGCGTCGCTCAATCAGGCGTCCTATTTTAGCCAGGCGGAGACATGACCTGGGGTGGGGTCCCGCCCGTCCCGTCACAAGCTTACACACCTCAATCCAACGTAACCTCCATCCACCCATCGATCGCATCATCAGCCCTTCTTCCTCTCCCTTGCTCCCTCTTATCCCCCTCCCTCTCGAAACCTTCATCCCGCGATACACCCTGCACCGCCATCATGGACTACGTACAGCACCGCATGACCGAGCAGGCCGCCAAACCCCCCGCCAGGTGAGCGCATTCCCTCCCCTCCCCTCCCCCTCCGTCATAATCTCTCCGAGACATACTTGTCGCTAACCCGACCTGCTTCCCCCCCCCCCCCTTCAGCGGCGACTTCTTCACGCCTCTCAACATCGTCCTCCTCGGCGTCGTCGCCTACACGTGCTACACCATCCTGCGGCCCTCGCCGCCCCCAAAGCCCATGCGCGACCCCCCGCCCACCGTCTTCCGCACCTACACGCCGCGCACCCTCCTCCCCTTCAACGGTGAGGACGGCCTTCCCGTCTTCCTCGCCGTCCGCGGTCGCGTCTTCGACGTTTCCCGCGGCCGCAACTTCTACGGGCCCGGCGGCCCTTACTCCAACTTTGCAGGCCGCGACGCCTCCCGTGGCCTCGCGTGCGGCAGCTTCGACGAGGATATGCTCACCAAGGATCTCGACGGGCCCCTCGATACCCTCGAGGGCCTCGGCCCGGATGAGATGGAGAGTCTGCAGGGCTGGGAGGAGAGGTTCAATGAAAAGTACGACGTGGTGGGCGAGCTCGTCTCCGTGGCGCAGTTCAACGAGAGGAACAAGGCGTGAAACACCACCACAAGCATGCCTGCCGCACGTATACGGAGGGAATGATCAAGTCTATTGTATGTTTTGCGAGGGAAGCGATGGAATTAGGGCACACCAAACGTTTGCAGAATGTTTCAACTCGATATGTTCTTATTTATGCCTCCGGATCCGCTGAGTTTAAATGAATCCAACAAGTGTACGTGAAGCAGGAAATGGAGAGTTAAGGTACATCGACACCATGCGAGAACTTGGTATCCGCATTGCCTCTGGAACATAGAAAAAGATGGCTAGCCAACGAGCCTTGACAAGATGTTTTGGAAAGAGAATTCAAACATGGCCCAACTCCTCGCAATGCCTCCTCGGTGGCCCTAGGGTCGCGCGGAACCCATACCGAACAGAAAGGACAACAACAAAAAACCCAAGAGAGACCCCAATATATAGAAAATACAGCAGTAGAAAAAGCCGGTAGGTAAAGGAAGGCTTCGTGTCAAACGCGTATCGCGTCCAGCACTGCACTATTGCGATTCCATCTGTAGGACCGTGGCAGCCTTGCGCAAAATGGCAGACGTCTTGGCCATGATGCGCTTCGCCTTTTCCCATTCCTTGGCCTCGATCATGTCGCGAATCGCCGGGAAGTAAGCCTCATCATAGCTAGACCACAGCTGTGGCCCAAAGACAACGTGCTTGAATTGCGCCCGATCAGGAATCTAGAGATATGTTAGCAAGATGATACCAAACAAAGGGGGACCGAGAAACACGTACACCGCCACCCACTTCCATGTCCAGTAATGTCGTCTCAAAAAGCGCCATCCTGTCGTTGTACTCTAGGCGCTTCTCCCCAAGGTCAGTCGGCTCCCAACCGCCCGAAGACATGATGACTCTCTGCCACATGGCCTCAAAATTGTGGAACCCCTGTGCGTTGTTCTGAATCATGGTCGCGGCATCCTTGAGCTCTCTGAAGGGAAGCTGCGGCTGCCCCTCGCCGTTGACGCCTTGGTGAGATGCCCACTTCTCCAGGTCCTCGGTCCAGCGAACGAGCTTGGAGGCATACTCCATCATGTCAAAGGGCAGGATGGAGTGGTCAG